ATAATTTATTTGCATTTAATTAATTTTCATTTGAAAAGAAAGCTTAATTATATAATATTTCTTTGATTATTAAAACTTCAAAATTTTTATTAGTGAAAAATAGGATATTGTTGTCTTACGTCAAATATCTATTAAGGGGTCCACCAAGAAAATAGAAGGGAAAAGGGGTCCATCAAGAAAAAAAGAAGGGAAAAAGGGTCCATGGGTATAAAAAAAAAGTCTGAAAACTACTGGTCTGTAAGGATGATAGTCATTTAATCTCCAATCACTTACATGGCCTTTAAAACAGGAACGTTTGGTAAAATATATATTAACAGAATTGAAATGACATGGACGTAATTTTGACACTATCAGGAGCAGAGCGTGTGAAGAAATTTTGACAATATCAGGGAAAGAGCGTGTGACAAACTAAGAAGTTTCGAGAATAATAGAAACTACAAAAAACAGTGACTAACAATCATAGATAGACAACTGAAACTAGGAAAGTAGGTCTGGCGACTTTAAAACTAACAAGAAATAATGAAACATGGGAAAATCTTTAAAAGGATTAGAAAATCGACTAAGGAGATTGTAAAACATAGATAAAAGACTTCGTAAAGTTTATCGAGAGCAACAAAATGGAGGAAGTTGTGAAGATCCATGTTTGCTTACGTTTTAGAAGGACGTACCATAAAGAGAGTGAGAGAGAGAGACAGACAGACAGAGGAATGGCTCTCGTACAGACATTGTTTTTATATTACTCAACATGTTTGTATTTTCAAATTCTTTTTGTAGTGTCTTTCCTACACAACTTCTACTAAAATTCTACAAAAATACTACTAAAATTCTCACAAAAATTCTACTAAAATTTTTGCTAGAATTCTTACTAAAATTCTACTAAAATTCTTCCGAAAATACTACTAAAATTCTTATTAAAATTCTACTAAAATTCTTACTAAAATTCTTACTAAAAATTCTACTAAAATTCTTATTGAAATTCTACTTAAATGCTTCACAAAATTCTAATAATACACCTACTCAAATTCTTACTTAAATTCTTCCTCAAATTCTACTAAAAATCTTACTAAAATTCTACTAAAATTCTACTAAAATTCTATTAAAATTCTTACTAAAATTCTTACTAAAATTCTACTAAAATTCTACTAAAATTCTACTAAAAATCTTACTAAAATTCTACTAAAATTCTTACTAAAATTCTACTAAAATTCTATTAAAATTCTTACTAAAATTCTTACTAAAATTCTACTAAAATTCTTACTAAAATTCTACTTAAATTCTTCTTAAAATTCTACTAAAAATCTTACTAAAATTCTATTAAAATTCTTACTAAAATTACGTAAAATTTTATTACTTATATCAATTTATCAGATCCGTCTGTTTTAAAGAAACAGACGGATCTGTTCAATAGGACATAAATTTAATATTTTTAAATCGGGGTATCAAATTTGAAACCCCTGCTCACACCAGACTTATTTAACCTATACAGCGAGGCGATTCTGAGAGGAATATAAGTTCTACTAGGATTGGAGGCTGAGTGGAGTTCGAATTCCAGTCCTATCCATTACATTCATTTATGTACTAATATCCCTCTTTTTATCCCCCACCACACTCCAGCTATGAGTAAATAGCAGGAAAGATCACGTTATATAAGCTTGGATAGCAACTGGTCTACCGCAGAAAGAAATGGCAACCTACTGCTGGAAAAATTGCCTCGTCAGTCATGCATCGAAAGATACATGATCGTCTAAGCTTGTATCACTCATGGCACATGAATGACTGACCGAGATTCATCATTGGTGTTGATAAGAGTAACAACATAAGAAATGCAGATAACACATTGCTGGTAACAGGCATTAAAAGAAAGCTACAAATCTCCAACGGAAGGTAGTGAAGGTAAGTGAGTAGAAAGGATTAAATATCAACTACAAGAAGACAGAATGTATGGTTGTTAGCAAAAGGGGTGAGCCCAAAGAGCGAATTGTCGTCCTGGGTATGACGATAAACTACATCCGCGTCCAGGATAAGACGATAAACTACGTCCAACAGTAAGGCCTCTGATCAGGAGGCTTTGAGGATCGTGGAACCTCATCTTAATTGCTGGTGTTACCAGGTCCGCCCCCGACCCGGGGTGGTATCCCTGTTAAGGTTGGGGCAAAATAGTTAACCCCGAAACCATCCGCGTGGTATGAGGATCAGTCCTGTGTGACGATAAACTACATCCGCGTCCACCAAGACGATAACTAATCTGACAGTATCAAGCCTTTGAGGATCGTGGAACCTCCTCTTAATTGCTGGTGTTCCCAGGTCCACACTGACCCGGGTTGGTAGCACCTGTTGAGGTCCCAGCTGTGTGCAAATAGTTAACCACGAAACTAAGGTATAAAGCAATAAAAGTGTAAAAATAGGTTTTAATACTAGAAATACTTTGTAAAAAATTATTACCAGAAAAAAATTCTTTGAAGAAAAAAAAATATTACCACGAATACGTTTTTGAAAAAAAAAAACTATTACCGCCTATACGTTTTTGAAAAATTAATATTACCAGCTATAAGTTTTTGAAAAAATAATATTACCAGCTATAAGTTTTTGAAAAAAATAATATTACCAGCTATACGTTTTTGAAAAAAATAATATTACCAGCTATACATTTTTGAGGAAAAAAAATATTAACAGAAATAGATTTTTGATAGAACAAAAATATTAACAGAAAAAAATATTGTCGGCATTAAATGACCCATTGAGGTAAAACAAACCAAACCAAACCAAATCCAAACTGTGCATTTCTGAAAAAAAATGGAAAATTACCAGCACTACATTTTTGAAGGAAAAAATTATAGTTGGCATTAAATAACCCATTGAGTCTGATATGCCATAACCCAAACCAAAGCAAAGTGCGAATTGCAAATCGGAGATACTTAAATAAAAATAAATAAATACTGAAATTTAAATATCTGGAAAGTGTTTTAACAGAGCACGGAAAGTGTGACACTGAAATTCAAAGGCGTATTGGGATAGCTAAAGAAGCATTTCAAAAGCTAAGCAGAGTATCAAGAAATAGAAAAAACTTCGCTAGAAACGAGGAACAGATTTCTAAATTTCTTATAGAATGAATAACACAGAACTCCTCAAAGATGAAAAAATTACTACAGAATGATGCTGACGATACCGTGGACCGAACATATGAGTAATGACGGAGTTTTTTGAGAAAACGGAAACAAAATGGAAACTAATATTTAACATCAAGAAGAGACAGTTGAGGTTTCTTGGGTACATAATGAGGAAGGAGGGCTTGGAAAATATGATACTCACGGGAGAGAGAGAGAGAGAGAAGAACGGAGAAAGGCACACAACATATTAGTGAGCTTGAGTAAGTGGACGACGAAATAGGGCTTAGGAAAACTAACAGAAAAACAAAGTTTGTTACGAGCTAAAATGACAGGGTACGGCACATGAAAAAGAAGTGTCGTTCGTGAAATAGGTGCTTCTCATCTGCAATTATTTTGCAACTAGCTTCCGGTAAAATAGTTTTTTGTTTTTTTTTAATCAACCTAAGTCGAGATCATAATGTCTGCAGTTCCGTACAGCAATTAGTTGTGAAATCAAAAATCTTTTCAGTGGCAGTATAAACTGGGTTGCAGACGATTTTCAATTTAGAGTTATCTTTCAACTAAATTGACTGTTAACCACAAGCTAGAGAGATCACTGTGCTCTGCTATTTAACATATAGCTTTGAGTGATGAAAGATGGATTCATTCACGTGCCGATGCTATTCCCGAATCTTAAAATCCCTTATATCGACATCCTGAATTTTAAAATCCCGAAATTTCAAATCTCTAATTTATAAAATCCCGAAAGATCAGAATCCCCCCAAAAAATCGTCTTTGCAAGAAACTGAAAAGAAAAACTTTTAGAAATACATTTTATTTCTAAACGTTTACAAAATAGCCTTTAAATAGAGTTTATACATTTGAAACATTCAAAATTCATTAAAATATATAAAACCAGAATATGGCATAAGCGATGGGAAAATTTAGTAGGCAATGCGCATGTCAGTGTTTACCGCATTATTGGAGAGTTTCAAAAAGACCAGCAGCAAGTAATCGCATTTTGAGAGGAGTGTCTTGTTCAAAAAGAAAAATAAGTGTTTGTTTTATCGTGATGAAAGGGTTAAAAATAGAGTTAACGATCGTGAAAACAGACCAGATCTTATTGACTTTCATAAGGGCTCTTGCTCATAATCTTTCATTATAAATTATTCATATTTTTTTAAGTATTTCCCCCACAAGTGAAGCGGGAGTTCCACTAGCAAGCAAGGGGTTAGAGAGAGTGACAGCAAGAATAAAGAGGGGTGTTTGAAAATAGGATATAGAGAAAGACGGGGATCAGGATCAAGGCATCAGAAGATGTCGATTGACATTACATTTGAATATTTGAAGATTATAGTTATCAGGGAAGCAAGTAAGAGGAAGGGAGTTGCACTGAGTGGAAGCGCGAGATAAGAATCTGCTGGAGTAGAAGAGAGTGGGAACGAGATGCCAACCTAGTAGCACCCTTAAATTCATGTACTTTGGGAACCAGTGAAAGTAGCTCGTCTGAGCAATTGCCGTGAAATTACTTATAGAAAAGACAGAGGGAAGCCACAGCATGTCTGTGAAAAAGTGACTGTAGAAGAGATGTCTGATCATGGCCTATCACATTGCATATCCATCTTTGGAATATATTCTGGTTTTATATTTATATTTATTTATATTATCAGAAATAAGATTAAGATGATTAATTATTAATTTTAGTGATGAACTACAAATAAGGATTATTTCCTGGCTTCATCTCACCAGCGGGAAATTAACTAAATTATCCTAGGGTTTATGAATTTAAACTCAAGACAAAAAGTTTTTTCTTTAAATTTGTTCGGCTTATCCAAGAGAAATAAAATTATCATAAGCGAAAAATTCGATTAAATTTGTTAAACTTTATTGATTAACTTATACAATTAAATGTATTTATATATATGGTCCATCCTTCATGATAGATAGATAGATAGATAGATAGATAGATAGATAGATAGATTGAGAACAAGTTGAGATAGTTAAGAAAATAGAGGGAGAGAGAGAGAGTGAGAGAGAAACACAGATTGAAGTAGATGAGAATATGTAGGAAGATGGCACATAGATAGATAGATAGATAGATAGATAGTGTGAGAAGAACAGGTTGAGATAGTTAAGAAAATAAAGAGAGAGAGAGTGTATGTGAAAGAGAAACTCAGATTGAAATAGATGAGAATATGTAAGAAGATAGCACTTAGATAGATAGATAGATAGATAGATAGATAGATAGATAGATAGATGAAATATTTCTGCTTATATCTCAGCATTTGTATGGGATATGTACAGAAAACCTACGAAGCAGACATCTTTATTAAAGAAATATAATTTCTAGACGCACGAAGCATGTAAAGCGTATTTTTGTGACAGGTGCTCAGTCGACTCTGGAAAATGGCACAAGCGAATTTATTGACAAATTGCAGCAAGATTTTCCAATAAGTTTATCGAAAAACCACGATTTCAAAATTTATATTTTTTGAAAATGATGTGGGAAAACATACAATTTCATCTCACTTATTCTGTTACCTGGAGATCACACACATACACCTACATATATATATATATATATATATATATATATATATATATATATATATATATACGTATACATGCATGAATATTGATCGGTGAGACGATTTCCCATTCTCGTTGGGTTCGTCATATTAACTTACGGATAAAGACCCTTGGGAAAGTTATTAATCCAACACTTCTCCCCAGCTATGGGTTAATTAGTAAGACTTGTATCACTAAATCATTTTCTTCACAATTTTATTTATAATCTAAAAATATTTTATGGCTTTAAATAACCTGCAAATGGTTGATAAGCCGTAAAAAATGAATACAACACACAGTCCTCAGCAAAACATGGCTCAATACAAAAGTAGAGCAATAAATATTTATTTGTTAGGCAGTTACATTAGAACATGCACATACCCACTACAAAACTGTACATCTCGTTTGAACATTATTTTTTAACGTTTCATCAGGTAGTATCGTGATTTCCCACCTGATGAAACGTTAAAAAATTACCGTTGAAACAAGATTTACAGATTTGTAGTGGGTATGTGCCTGTTCTCATGTAAACACTGTATAATAAATAAATATATACATCCATATACAAATCTTATTTCTATTAATCTCTCTCTCTCTCTCTCTCTATATATATATCTCTATATATATATATATATATATATATATATAAAAGACATTTTTATGTCCATACAGTCTTTTATAGACACAAATATTTAAGTAAATGCTCTGTTTTATAATAAACAGTATTAATAACATTTTTTTATAAAACAGAGCACTTTACTGAAATATTTGTATCTATAAAAAAGAATGTATAAACATAAAATTTCTTAAAATAATTGTCGGACTTTGTCCATTTCATAATATATACATACATATATATATATATATATATATATATATATATATATATATATGTGTGTGTGTGTGTGTGTGTGTGTAAAAGATTAATACAAATAAAATTTGTCACTTAGACGTTAAATGTCATATTCAGCGCCTTAAGACCGGAGTTTCATGTTTTCTTAGACGAAATTTTTCGCAATTGTTCGGTCCACTCGTCAGTAGGATTCAACGATTGAATGCGGATATTTTTTTAATGTAATTACGCTATGCGCCAATAGGGATTCTACTATTATTGGGTTTTGGTTGATTTTGTTTTTTTTTGTTTTTTGTTTTTTTTTTTTTACTTAGCGGCATTATCGCCTTGCTTGGGGTGAAATGATTAAAAAAATCTACTTCTGTATATGGATGTATGAAGCAGGGGTAGGAATTTAAATAGTAACTTGGCATAGGATTATAGAACGACTGAAATGTTGTCGGATCCGAAAGTTAAACGACGTGAATTCAATTGTAGAATATCTGACCACGTTATTTTTTATGCATCAGTCATTTTATGTTTCATAGTTATATTTCATTATTTACACTCGGACTATTGTCTTCGTGTCTGTTGTTATCTCCGCAACGTTTCGGCAATTGCGCCCTCCAACCTTCATCAGTAATCGATACGTGTAATCCTTCAGGAAATTTCGTATGGAACAATTTATTTGATATACTCGTATATCAAGTATAACCTCGTACGAGTTTGGATTGTTCACGCTCCGCTGACCATGTCTCGTGATATCTCGTTTTATTCGTATATATTATTACTCTTTTACAAGCCCTCTTTCCACTAAGTCTACAGGCAGTCTTCTTCTGCTTCTTCTTCTTCTTCTTCTTCTTCTTCTTCTTCTTCTTCTTCTTCTTCTTACTCCTAGTAAATCGCCCGGCTTACACCCCTCCTCATTTTTTTAACAGAAGTTTATTCCTTCTTTCTTGTTTGGGATTGGTTTTCCGGTTCCTTCTAAAGTCTACTTCGACTCTATACTTCTAACGTCTTCGCCTAAACTCTGAAATTTCGTTTACTAATTTATATTCCTACTTAGTAGGGAAATACCGCCCGGTTCACACTCTTCCCCTGTCTTCGAACAGGAGTAGAGGTTTATCTTTAGATTCCTGTTAAGGATTTGGTTTCCGGTTCCTTCTAATGAGTTTTATTTTTGTCTCACTCCCAGTAGCCCCTTCCATCTTCGTGGCCTTAACTTCTTGCTTGTGATGAATTAATTAAAAAAAACAAAATGCTTAAACAAGAATCCAAAACTAGGAATACACTGAAGAAAGTCTTCAGCCTCTCGATATTCTTACAGCCTGTGTATGACGATAAATTACATCCGCGTCCTGGGAAAGACTATAAACTACATCCGCTCCCTGGGTAAAAAGATAAACTACATCCAACTGCAAGGCCTCTGATTAGGAGATTTGGAGGAGCGTGGAACCACCTCTTAATTACTGGGGTTCTCAGAGTGGAGCACCTGTTAGGGTCCCAGCTATGGGCGCATAGTTCACCCCCTACCACCACCAACCAGTCCGCGTCCTGGATAAGAAGATAAACTACAGCTGCGTTCTGGGCAAGACGATAAACTACATCCAACAGCCTCTTATCAAGAGCTTTTGAGGAACGTGGAACCACCTCTTAATTGCTGGTGTACCCAGAGTGGAGTACCCTTTAGAGTCCCAGCTATGAACACATAGTTTACCCGCTCGCGTCCTAGGTAAGAAGATAAACTACAGCCGCGTCCTGGGTAAGACGATAAATTACATCCGCGTCCCAGGTAAGAAGATAAACTACATCCGCGTCCCGGGTAAGAAGATAAACTACATCCGCGTCCTGGCTAAGACGATAAACTACATCCAATTTCAAGGCCTCTGATCAGGAGGTTTTGAGGAGCATGGAACCAATTCTTAATTGCTGGTATTTCCAGGTCCACCCCGACCTATTGGCAAATATTTAATCCCCAAACTGAGGTCAATACCTGTAAAAATAGGTTTTAATAGAGTAAACATTTTTTTTAAATTATTACCAGTAATAAATTTTTGGAAAAAATATTACCAGAAACACTCTTTGAAAAAATATCTTACAAGCAACAAAAAGCCTGTCTGCATTAAATAACCGGTTGAGGTTAATGTGCCGTAAAACAAACCAAACCAAGAATATTCTTGATGAGAAAAAAAACTGAAAAGAAAATGTGATTTTTCCTGAGTTTCAAAAGGATTTTTATTACGAATTGCTGAAAGTTATTCAAAAAGCTATTACTGAAATACACAGTGAGCAAATGCCTCGTTTCAACGTCACATTATGTAGCAATAGATATTTTTTCTTGCTAGTAACTCGACCGGTGATTTGATGCATGACAAGACTCGTTCCACACGAAGAAAAACAAATCATATTCTAGCAGACATCGAAATTTCTTCCATATTTACCTAACCTGTCATCTTCAGATGATCAAACAGTTTCGCTTCACGCAATTTTTTAAATTTTTTTGCTTTTGTCAAAATCTCTACAGATAATTGAAAAATACCTAAAAATACGGAATCGTTCGTTTATGGTTGAATACACTATACTGGTGAAAAGCTTTATAAATCTTCCATTTGTCCGTGAATTTGGAAGATGAAGAAATATTATTATTATTATAGACTGATTTACACGAACTAGCATCTTCATCTTGGTTGTTATAGTCATAACACCTGGATTTTTGTGATATGGAATTATCATTATAATACACTGATTTACTCATACTAGTATCCTCACCTTGGTTGTTGTAGTAAAAACGTCCGAATTTTGGAAATGAGGAGTTATAATTATATTACGCTGATTTACTCGGACTACTATCCTCATCTTGGTTGTTATAGTTAAAATGTCCGAATTTGGGAGATTAAGAATTATCATTATTATACACTCATTTATTCGGACTCCTATCCTAATATTGTTTGTTATTGTCACAATGTCCGAAATTTGGGGATTATTTCGTATCATTTAATTCTTGCTAGTTCATTCGTTTTTGCTATGTTTCTTTTCTTTCTACTGAACCAAATATAATGACCTATTGCACTACCCATCATAGGGATTGAACTTACAATCGTGGTGCAAAAGTGTCGTTTAATCCTCTCTGGACTCTTTCTGTCTGTCTGAATTTCTGAGATGACGCTTTATCATTATTGACATTAATTATGTCCTCATCTTTATCGGTGAAAACAAAGATGGGGACAACAGCAGATATCCATAGTCTGTATGTAAATAACGTCAATAATTTACACGCAGTGTAGAATAATTAACAGGACGAAATTTAAAAATCTTAGACCTGAATACCATTCTTTCATTCTTAACATGATCAAATAATTATCTGCAACATAAACGCAGTCCTGAAGAATATCCACAAAATGATAAACAAATCAACATGAGGAATTTACATCAATGTTAAAGGTGCTAGTAACGGTAATGGTAATGTTAACGGTAATGGTAGCGTTAACGGTAATGGTAACGGCAACGGTAATGTCAACGGCAATGGTAACGGTAACGGTATTTATAGCGGTAACGGTAACGGCAATGGTAACGGTAATAGCAATGGTAACGGTAATAGCAATGGTAACGGTAATGCTAACGATAATGGTAAAGGTAACGGTAATGCTAACGACAACGGTAATGCTAACGGCAACGGTAATGTCATTGGCAATGGTAACGGTAATGGTAATGCTAACGTTAACAGTAATGGTAACGATGATAGCAATGCTAACAGTAATGGTAACGGTAATATTAACTGTTTCCTTATCAAGAAACATTCATTGACCGTGTAGACATTGTAACCTGAGTTACACTTTTCTTCACTGCCTTGCCATGGCGGCTGAGATCAAA